GTGGTGGCCGCGCCAGCGCTGCAGAGCCCAGCGGCTCCCTCTGTGGCTGAGGGGCCTGCCCGAGGCCACTGGCCAGCAGCTGCCCTGAGCCGGTGCACTGGCTCCTCCCCCACCGAGGCCTGGTGCTTTCTCTCTCCTCCAGGCTTCGAACAGGAGCCGCGCTTTGGGGCGGGCTGGCTTCACTCTCCCTGTCTGGCGAAGCCCCTCTGCGTCCTGGGGCTTCTGGCTCCTGCAACTCAAGTCTGTCCCTCCGTCCAGCACCCTGGGGTGTGGACAGCGCCCTCCCGGCCTGTCTGAATCCGCCTCCTCTCTTGGTCAGGTGCCCACGCCAGGCCTCCCCGCAGGTGCTGCAGGTGGCGGCCTCCCCTTGGCCTCCTCTCCTGGGATTGCCCAGGCCACGGGTCTCATTGCAAAGGCGGCTTCCCATCCAGGGGCTCCCACACCGCCCTGGGCTGCCCCGCCCCCTGCAGGCTGACTCGGGGAGAGCAGTTATTTGAGCTCATGTCTGCAAAGGACCTTAAAAGCGGTTCCTCAAATGGCCCCAGTATTTTTCCTGAAATGCCCTTCCACGTGGAGATCTTTCGTAAACGAAGTAGAAACAAGTAATGCCCGGCTGGCGCGGCTCAGGGGCTGAGGGTGGACCTATGAACCAGGAGGTCAGGGTTCGATTCCCGGTCAGGGCACGTGCCCCGGTTGCGGGGTCGATCCCGTGTGGGGCGTGCAGGAGGCAGCCGGTCAGTGATGCTCTCTCATTGCTGATGTCTCCCTCTCCCTCTCCCCTCCTCTCTGACATCAATAACATTTATTTTTTTAAAGAAGAAACACCCAGATGCTTTCCCACAATCTAAGAACTTGGAGGACTCATTCCCCGTGTGGCTTTAATCCTGGGCAGTTTCAGGTCCGCCTGTCCCCCTCCCGGCCCCCTCGCTCCCACCTGGGGACCGGGGGGCTGTGCAGTGAGAGGCCAAGCAGCCGGGTTCCTTCCCACGCACCTTCGTGTGCAGCCGGCACACGTGACGGGCCACGTGGGGAGTCCCCCTCCCGGCCTCCCTGTCTGTCTCTCTGACTCTGTTCGGGATAAGCGAGGGGCGTCTAGTTTGGGTGCGGTGAGCCGGGTGAAACCCCGTCCACATGGCCCGGGGCCCCTGAGCCAGGGACCTACCCGCTGGGAGCTGCCTGCTAATCGCGGACGTCAGTTGAGTTAGAATTCATGGCTCAGGGCAGCTTAGGGAGAAATTCCTGTGACGCACCTGGCCGCTAGTGACTGCACAATATATGCCCGCCATGCCCGTCACTATCATTGTCATGGTTACTGTTTGGCCACGCCCCCATTCCGGTGCTCATCCTCTCTAGCCACGCCCCACCACAGCCATCATCACCAACAGGCCATGCCCCCACTGTCATCCTCAGACCACGCCCCATCACCATCAAGCCACACCCCTATCACAGCCATCATTACCATCAGGCCACGCCCCATCACCATCAAGCCACGCCCCCAGCAGACATCATCACCCTCAGGCCACACCCCCACCACTATCATCATCATCACCCTCTGGCCACGCCCCATCACCCTCAGGCCAGGGCAGCATGGTGTCAGCAGATGCTCCCTTAGCTCACTGCCCCTGGGGTGGGAGCTTCCCGGTGGAGCTGGGCGTGTCCCGATGGAGCCCGGCGCCCCCTGGTGCCCGGTTGACAGCGAGGTCTTGTCTCAGGCCTGCAGGTATGGACACGTGCAGCACCTGGAGCACCTGCTCTTCTACGGGGCTGACATGGGGGCGCAGAACGCCTCGGGGAACACGGCCCTGCACATCTGCGCTCTCTACAACCAGGTCAGTGTGGCGGGGCCCGGGGTTGAGGCAGGTCCCGGACGTCGCTGTGGGAGGTCCCTGCCCCTCCTTCCCTTCATTCCTGTTCTCTGACTTCAAGGACCTCGCCTGGAGAGTGGGGTGGGGTGTGGACACTCCATGAGGGGGGGTGCTCTGCTACCTGTGGAGGAGCATGGCGGACCACTGATTAGGGTGACTGCTGGGGGCCCCAAGGGTCTTGCAGCTGCGTGTCCTCTGCCATTGGCGGTATCTTCCCAGCCCAAGCAGTGCTCCTGTCTTTTTAGGTGAAACCTCCAGCCTTCGCCTGAGACCAGGCCCTTTCCCCGCCTAGGCCCCTCCAGCCACTTTGAAATCCTGATTTGCTTCTAGCTCAGCCGTGGGCAAACTACGGCCCACGGACCGTATCTGGCCCGTTTGAAATGAATAAAACTAAAAAAAAAAAAGACCGTACCCTTTTATGTAATGATGTTTACTTTGAATTTATATTAGTTCACACAAACACTCCATCCATACTTTTGTTCCGGCCCTCCGGTCCAGTTTAAGAACCCATTGACCCAGGCCCCTCCAGCCACTTTGAAATCCCAATTTGCTTCTAGCTAATCAACCCTGGAAAACTCCTACACATCCTTCAAGACCCCATTCAGATAGCCCGCCCTCAGTCAAGCCTCCCCTGGATGAGCTCCCCATAGCGTCCGCTGTGGTTCTCGCTGTGCAGTGCTTTGGGGGACCGCCGGGGGGGACCGCCAGGGGCAGGCATTGTTGTGACTCACCCGTCCTTCCTGCTGGCACCCCTCGCCCTGGGCCCCTCTTCTCAGGGGCATGAGCAGCCATGGCTCGTGGTCTCCACGCGGCTGGCACAGGAGAGCAGCTCAGCCTGCTGGGTGGGGAGCATTTCAGCTTCAAGAAGTATTTGCAGGATGAGGGGCTGGCTTCCTGCTTATGGAGGCGACCCCCCCACAGTGGGATTTGTGTGCAGCTGGGGCGCTCCCTTGGGGGGACCCTGGCGCTTGCACGGGAATAGCTGTGTGAGCCTGGGGTGCCTTGCCCGGCTGCTCCAGGAAAGCAGGCCCTGAGGCTTGGCCGCAGCTGGTAAAACATCTGTGCCAACATGTGCTTCTTACGCCCCGAGCGGGAGACAGTCCTTCATTGTCCCCAGGAGACTGCGCGCGTCTTTCATCAAGACAAAACCGCCCGATAAACATGTTTGCTGCCACTTGAAATAATTGTGGCCAAGATGGTCTTGAGCGTGTGGGTGGTTCCACTGTGGTCTGCAGTCTGTGACGGGCGGGGCTGGTTTGACCCATGTCACTGTCCCTGCTCAGGTCTGGCCGGGCTCTCGGGAAAGCCCTGCCCAGGTGCCTTAGGTTAGAGGAGGGGTCAGCCAACTCTCTGCAGAGGCCACAGGTTCGAGGCCACGGCCACGCCGCTCTGCTGTTGAGACAGCACTAATGATTGTGTGGTTGTGTGCCAGTAAAACTTTATTTACAAAGCAGGCAGTGGGCCGCTTGAGAGCCTGTGGGCCATAGTTCGCATACCCCCTACTGGGGATCGAGCCTGCAACCCGGGGCCTGTGCCCTGAATGGGAATCGAACTGTGACCTCCTGGTTCATCGGTTGATGCTCACCCACGGAGCCCCGCCGGCCGGGCGTATTCCACTTCTGATGTATTTTATGCGCCCGTGCGAGACTGAGTGTAGAATATAGCCTTAAAAAGGCCGCTGTTTGGCCCAGGGGTGCATATACTTTAAACTTTTATAGATTCTGCCAAGTTGTCCACAGTGTTTGTAGCAGTTAAACTTCAACGGGTAGCACTGGGCAGGGGTGTGGGGGGGTCACCCTGATCCTGGCCGTGCGGAGGGAGGAACCCGCCCTCCCTCTGACTTTGCCAGCGTTTCTCTGCCTCTCGGGAGGGAGCGAGCTTCCGCAGCTGGGGCGGGGCTCTGCCTCAGCGGCTCCCGGGGGATCTGTCCGTCACCCGCGTGTCCCGTGTGCCTGCAGGACAGCTGTGCGCGGGTGCTGCTGTTCCGGGGCGGGGACAAGGAGCTGAAGAACTACAACAGCCAGACCCCCTTCCAGGTAAGAGGAGCCCTTGCAGGACACCACACACAGACAGGACCGGGGGTGGGGGGTGGGGCGAGACCGAGGGTCTCTGGGCATCGCGTGCTTTTGACACGAGGTCGGCTGGTCCCGTGGGGGATGTCATCTGCGTTGGGAGCTGTGCCCGGCGCCTGTGTCCTTGTGTCCCAGAGCCGGTGGCTCCCAGAGCCCCTTCCTACCAGTGAAACTTCAAGTCCAGCCCTGGCCAGTTCGGCTCAGTGGATAGAGCATCGGCCTGCAGACCGAAGGGTCCTGGGTTCCATTCCTGGTCCGGGCACATGTCTAGTTTGCAGGCTCGATCCCCAGTGTGGGGCCTGCAGGAGGCAGTCGATCCATGAGTCTCTCTCATCATTGATGTTTCTAACTCTCTTTCCCTCTCCCTTCCTCTCTGACATCAATTAAATATATTAAAAAACAAAACCAAAAAACACGTGGCTCTTCACTCAGAGGCGGTGCCGGCGTAGGGGCCGGCGCTCTGGGGTGTGGACATGGCACGGAGTCGGCACCACAGAAACCGAGGGCCATGCGACAGATGAGCTGGGCCCTGTCTCCCTGGCCGAGCGTCAGTAACTAACACTCAGGCGGAAGGAAATCGGACAGGTCGCAGGATTGTGCTGTTTAGACACGGGAGGCAGCCGGCCAGCGTGGCTCAGTGATTGAGCGTCAACCTATGAACCAGGAGGTCACGGCTCCGTTCCCAGTCAGGGCACGTGCCCGGGTTGTGGGCTCGATCCCCAGTGTGGGGCGTGCAGGGGGCAGCCGATCGATGATTCTCTCTCATCATTGATGTTTCTATCTCTCTCTCCCTCTCCCTTCTTCTCTGAAGTCAGTAAAAGTATA